GAAACAAGGTACGGAACACAAAGGTTGTTTCACCAAACTCCAAGAATTGGACAAAGATTCTGTGATAACTTACATGCATACCGGCTTTTGCAGCAGAAGATTGCCATGTAGTGTGATGTTTTCCAAACACGTACTACAGCGGATCGCCACCATAGTTGATGAAGATACGTGTCCGCAGCTCGTGAGGCATCCTAGTAAAGGCTCTGTACAACGACCTACAAAAAACTTTGGCATCTTGAAAGAATTGTTAAGTGCCATCTGCGCAGCTGAGAGAGATTGCCAACAATTACAGGTTCAAAGTTAGATGCTGCTCTCATAATTGCTATAAACTTGCCAACATACTTGTCCAGACCGGGTTTCCATGCTTTCATCACATCTGCGTTGTCGACACGGAGGTGGTACTCCGAGCATTCAAAGGTCAGTGCCGACAAGTGCGTCGTGCATATAGTACGATCACCGTTGACTTTCAACAGTGTCTGCAACAGCGTGGAAACGCTCATCCACGTGGACAATTGGTTGGGTCAGGAGGACACATATTGCTTATTACACTGAGTACGATCACCGTTGACTTTCAACAGTGTCTGCAACCGCTGAGTAACATTGCTGCAAAACAACAGACTTGGACCCAAGTGGGTGGCATCATCTTTCAGTGACTTTCACAGATAAATATCTCATCGGCAAGCAGGCCGCGTACGTAATTCAATGACCTGAGACCTCAGGTAACTGATGCATGTGCACAACCTTAATAAAGTTAACGAACGGAGCCCTATCATGCGCACGACCGAATACGGTTTGCATGAATATTGCAGAGCACAGATCATGCACTTCAGATGATGAATGTTGAGTGTGGTCTTGGAGTTGACACATTTGTTTGCAACAATTGTGGCAAGCGAGGGCACCAGGCAGGACAGGATACGAGAGATGGATTGCCATTCCTAATTCGCTGCTTGAGTAAGCATGCGATTAGGGCCGAGTGCACAGCACAGAACGGACCCGGGGCAGCATCAACCTGAAGGGTCTGTCACCAAGAAGCTGTGCTGCGAGTCGAGCCCTAGAAGGAGGATATGGACTGCCACTTGAAAGAGATTCGTTTGCACCGATGGAGCGAGCGACGGCTCCAGGCAGAGGTAGCTTGAGAGAGTGTACAAGAGATGGAGATTCCCACTCCGAAATGGCTGCCTGAGTGTGAGTATGCGATGTACAGCCGAGTGCAAAGCATAGAGTGGACCCTTACGGAGTGCACTGCATCCTTAAGCATATGCCCCAATTATACGAGGTTGTCAAGCCAACCAAGCGAGATGTTCTGTGCAAGCCCACAAAGCTAACCAAGACCCCATATCATCATATTCCCCACACAACTAGTGTCCCTCAAAATCACAAATAATCAAGGGAGAGCTCTATCATCTGGCATTCTTGAGACCCTGTGAGGCCTCGGTCTTCCATGAGGACACCATCGCCTGACTCGGAGATGTTGGCAGCAACCACAAAGAATAAAACTGATCCCATCAGACCTCTCACCTGGACTGAGCAACCCACAACATCACCTGATCTTACGTGTCCCCCATCCATGCACTGTCAAGCGCAACTTCCAAGAGCAAAGAAGAAAACCAGACATTAGTTTTCCAAATTTTAACAGCTGTCTTACTTGTCGGAAACAGGGTTGTCATGCGGGGATTCCCTCCTGGAAACCACGATCCCCGGCCCGGAGGTGGCCGACCATCCGACTATGGACTCGCAACCACCAAACCCTGTCACCACACCCCACCCCGCAGCTCCACGCCTGAACTCCGCCACCGTACCCAACCACGCCACCGGAACCTGGCATTCCCACCGCTGAACCCCACCATCAGACTATACACTGGCAACCCCCAAACCCTGTCACCACACCCCACCCCGCAGCTCCATGCCTGAACTCCGCCACCGCACCCCCACCCGCACCACCATACCC